ACACAATTCCTGAAATGGGTTTTAGCCAAATTTCCCAGAACTGGACTTTTCTTATTATATACATAAATCTTTATGTTTTGAAATCTTTATGGTTCCTTTAAGAAAGTAAGCAACCTTGAGGCTTATTTTAAAGGATAGATCTTTTTCACCTTTTCCATTATCCTAAAGTTATTCACCAAAGATTTACCTGAATATTTTGATTTACAAAGGTTTACTTGAATATCAGTCTTGAGATTGAAGTCCCTTGAAATTCAGGTCCTCATCATGGGCTCCTTTTCTATCTTTAGGGGCATTTTCTCCTACATTCGGTAGAACAGTGACTTGAAATACTGCTGACTTCAGAAATTCTGGAGGCCAGAAGACAGTGAGACAACATTTCCTCATGTGGCCAACACACTTGCATCCTTCCTATGGCTCAGCACAAAAACTTTGGACTAATTTCCAATTCTTTTCTTTGTCTCCTAATTCACGTTCAATACAACTACAAATCTTATCTCCAACTTCTATTTAAATCTCCACGCAAGTTCTTATGGGCTTGCTTTTGCTTTTATATATGACAGCAGGAATAGGTGGTTTGGGAGCTAGTTTGGAACAAGCATTTAAAGAAAAGTTAAATCTGCTGGTGCTGAAACTGTTCTAGGCCTGAAGTAAACATGCAGAGTTCCTAGTTAATTTCAAGAAGTCAATGAAGCATGACTACAAAGTGATAACATTCTGAGAGCCCACACTCACCGTCTGCTGCCAGAAGGTGGGTCCCCATTAGGTATTTATACATACCCCAGGATCCTGTGAGCACTACTGTAGAGCCCTGTTCCCAATGGCAACTCCAGCCACTGAGTTTTGGTGCAGTTTATTATGGAGCATTTTTGTGACAATAGGTGACTAATAATAGAGTTTCAAGTATTTTTTAACATGTTACTTATGAAAAAAAGAGTTGACTTGTGACAATTCAAAGAACCTTCCTTGGATCAACAAGGATTCTAGGCTTTCTCAGCACTATTGATATTTGGGGTCAGATAATTCTTTGTTTAAGGGAGGAGGCTGTCTTGTGTATTGTAGGATGCTCAACAGTACCCCTGGTTTATATGTACTATATGCCAGAGACATCCCACCCCAGTTGTGGTAACCAAAAATGTTGACAAACATTGATTAATGACTTATAGGGGCAAAATTATCCCAGCTGAGAATCACGGAGTTAGAAGGCAGATTTGGGTTTAGTTTGAGAATGAACTTTCCTACAGTGACTGTTTGAATGAAGTAAACTCTTAAAATGGAAGTATTTGAAGTGGACTCTGTGGGATCTACTTTTTCATCACATAGGGGATTAGATCAGACAGCTTCTACGGGGCTTCCCACTGACTCCACACTGATGAGCTAACTAGTGAGGAGAGAATGTCTTTGTTCTTCAACATGTGCGAGAGGGACTTTAAACATAAAATTATATCCTTGGCAGTCTTTTTGGCTCATAAACATGCTTTGAGGGCATTTTCATAAATATCAAATGATAAATGCTACTTAAACACCTGTAATCATTTTAATTGCTTTCAGGATATCTCCTTTATGATCTGGTTGGCATTAAGAGACAGTACTATGCCTTTCTTATGGCTATGTAATATGAGATGATTTTCAAAATGTCTCTTTTTAACCTTGGTGAATGTTATTTGATTATAATATGTGTACCTGTATCACAATAAACTAGGTCACAGAATTCTCTTACATTTTTTTAAAGCAAAAGTTTAAATCCCTTTTACAGGAAAGACATTTTCAGAAACATTAATTTAGTTCTGTGGCCTGACTTCTACTAGGGCTAGGTTGTTGGAGATTGCTCAAGAATCCAGAGAATTTCTGCAGCCCGGAGGGATGGAGGAGAGTCTCTCACTTCTCAGAGCCCTGACACCCTAGGCCCTTCACTCGGGGAGAAAAAAAGCCAGAAGCCAATTGTCAATCACATCTTGTCTGTTGCTGCCACCACCCAGCAGCAACCCTCTCTGGCATGGCTAGAGACACGCTGAAGTCCTCAGGGGGAACCAAAAGATAGCAGTTTCTGTGCTGGCAGAATCCAGTATTAGAATTAGTTGCTATCCTAGGCTATTATCTTTGCAAGGACAGAAAAGTAGGTATCAGGAATGAGGGAGAGAGGGACAGATATGAAAATGAGGATACTTATGAATCTGTGGGCTAGAGTATTAGGGGTATGTTCAGGAAGGATAAAAAAACCAAATAGTTACATGTAGTCTCTTAAAGATAACACTGAAACATTTTTCTTAGAGATAGGTTAGACTGAAATACTCTGTACCAAGATAATTTGATTTAAAAGATTATTAGAAGAGGATGTCCATTACTGAACCTGACAGTACAATTTCATACATATAATACTTATTAGAATTGTTCAGCTTTCTGATTAGTGTTTTAAAACATTACAAAATATGGAAGCTCCTTTCACTAACCTGGATTATAAGCAAATTTTGATAATGTTATGGCTAATTTAGAGGAGTTTTTTTCCTACTTTTAAGACTATTAGAATAAAACAAATTTTAGGGTTAGATTCACCGAAGGACTTTTAGAATTTTCTATTTAGGAACATGAAATGAGAAAGGTTTTGTAATGAAAAGATAATACCCTATAGATACTATTAGCAAATCTTCATTTCTAATTGGAATTAATTCCATTTACTAGAGAGAAGTATCAAAGTGGTATGTTTGTTGCTCTAGATACATGTATGTGGCAGAATAGTTGAAATATCCAAGTCTTGGTTTCTGTTGGACCTCTAACCAATTTAGGAGAGAATAAACAATAAAACCCCAGTATTCCAAATAGCACATTGTAATAGTAAAAAGACTTATCATGACCATGGAAGCCAGCCAGAAAATAGTGTTCACTAATACATAAGCAGTCAAATAGAAGTGTACAGTGTTTTAATAATAATTCAAGAGGTCCCTGTTAGATAGTGCGTTGATAGGGCAGTAAACTGAAAAGGTGGGGCAGAGCACAGTGAGACTGTGTTTTGTGCACCGCAATACCCTCGGTACGGAGGACAGTGCCTGGCATAGACAGGCGTAGACTGACTTGGCTTTAGAGACAAGGTCAATCCATCACAGGTTTTGTTTGTTTGATTGTTTGTTTTTTGTTTTGTTTTTTTAGCAGGAAAGGGCCTTGCAAACAGAAATATGGACTTAGAATTTGGGAAAAGGGTCAGGGCTAATGATATCTTGAGGACCCTAGTGTGAAACTCACCAACAAGGTTGAGAATGAACTGAAAGTTCTCTAAGTTGGAGCATTTTCCACGTAGCTGAACTCCAGGACTTGACCGTAGGAGCATGATTGGCTGCTTTCAGTGTTCGTTTCATGGTAACGCTTAAACAGTAGGGCAAACATAAGCTGACAAACCGATGACACATTAATGGTATCATTGCTTTCTCTTAACATTTCATTGACATCTACGTTTTAGAAAAACCCTGGAGTGTGAAATTTGTGCCTGTGCAGGTTGTAGTTTCTACCCTGGTCTTTTCTGACATAAACTCAACTCCTGAGCATCTTCGGGGGTCTCAACTCCATACCACCGCATCACCAGACATCCGTCTCAGGGCAGCTTCCCTTTCCAGGGTCATCACTGGGATTAAAATACACCATTTGAGTTTAGTCTACCATTGTCCCAGAGTTTTAAAAAATCCCTTTTCTATTTTAGTTAAAGTATTCACCGTCATTTATGGAAATGGTGGCATGCTGTCATTAGATGTAACAACTTGCTTTTCTACAGCCACAGTAGCTACGTCTTTTTAATATTGTTTTTTGTGTTTTTGACTCTATGTAAGTGAAATAATAGTCATTTTTTCACAATATCGTTTTTTCTTCCACTCAGCATTATATTCTAGAGATCTTATATATTGTAGGTCATATAGTATTCCAGGTGTGAATATACTACAGTTTATGTATTCTGGTAATGATGGACATTTTTTGTTATTACAAATAATGCTGATAGAAATATTCACATATGTATGTCCTTGTGCAAATTATATGAGAGTTTCTGTAGGGCAGTGGTTCTCAAACTTGACTGCATCAGAATCAACTGGAGGGATGTTTAAACAGGTTCCTGGGTTCATTGCACCTCATTCTGTAAGTCTGGGGGGGGGGTCCCAAGAATTTGCATTTCTAACAAGTTCTCAGGTGTGAAAGATCTATTGATTCCAGAACTAACTGCTTCCGAGTATAGATTTAGCTGCAGAATTGCTAGAGTGAAATAGAAGATGCAGACTTTTAACTTTAGTAGATAACACTAGATTGTTAGCTACGAGCAGTGTGAAAGAGAATCCTCAGACTTAAAGTTTTGCCAGTCTGGTAGGTGTTAACAGTATCTTATTACAAGGCCAAAAAAGGGAAATCTATGTGCGTTTATTTTTTTTATGTTAAAGCTTTCAGAATATATGGAACTTCACCATTTTAAATGGAAGAATGTTATCCAGGACACACACATGTACACACAGTATTCCACAGGAAAAGCTGTGTGTGCTAATCAAATTCAATTTTACTTGCTAAACAAGAATCTTAGGTAATTATTTTAATGTTTAATATTTTAATTCTTCCTGTGGCCTTTAAAAAAAAACCCAAGGAGAAATTTAACTTTAGTGAAAAGGTTTGTTTAAACTGAAGATATTCCTTTTAATTGAGAAAAGCCTCTCTTAATAAGTGCAGAAGGCTAATTTAGAAGGAGCTGATTAGATACCACATAGTGCATTCCTCAGAGGACCTCCTTGAAAGCCAGATTCAGGTCTTTTTAACAGGCTCACTGTCTAGAGAAGCTGCTGCAGATCTGACCCCTTGTTCAGAAATATTGCTTTCTGAGTGACTGAGCAAACGTGTGTTAAGGTCCTGCTTCTGTCTGATGGTAAACCCGCACAATGGCGTGGTGTACCCCAAGCGCCTGTGTATCCTGACCTGTGTTCACTGGGCTTTTGCGTCTGTTGTTCGTATGAGAAGACACTAATGTATGACTTGTCTTTCAGCTTTCATGACGCTGGTTATCATATTGCTGCACATGTTCTGGGGTATTGTATTTTTTGATGGCTGTGAGAAGAAAAATTGGTATGCCCTTCTGGTAGTTCTTCTGACCCACCTGCTGGTGTCAGCCCTGGTGAGTATCGCCACTGTGCGCGCACGGTTGTTGGGAGCGCGAGTCCCCCTCTCTCAAGCGGTAGGCTCCACTCTAAATGGAGTGCGTGCTCTTGGGAAACTGAGAAAATTCAGAAAAGTTGTTTAAAAGAAGGGATGAACAATAGATAAATCATCAAAGTCTTACTACAGAAAGACGACTACTAATTTGTTGGCTGATCTCAGTAAAGATTTTTTTTCTCCTGTCTTTCTTTTTTAATGGTACAGTCAAACCTGAAATAGTCTTGCATTAAGCTTTGCCATGTAACATTTCTTAAGCAATTTACATGTTCTTGTAAATCCTTTTAACATATAAATTTTAATGGCTTTATATCAGTATATAAAGATTATATTATAGTGTGCTTAAGTGACTGATCCCTTCTGTTTCTACTTTTGGTTGTTATAATGCTGGCTTGGACATCTTTGTACATGAAACTTTTTCAATATGTTGTTCCAAGGACTAGAGTCATGAAGTCAAATGGTCTGAATATTTTTAAAGCCCTTGGTACAAATTGCTAAAATACTGTCCACAGGGTTGTACCATTTTTACTCTATCTCATCAATAACAAGAATGACCATTTCACTCCCGTCTCTCTAACATTATAATGATGCCAGTTTTCAAAAGAAGTGTTTAAAAATAAAACATGACTAAATACATTTTTAAGTACTATTGAATGCCTCGGGTCTGACTTTTATTACAGTTTGTCGGATATTTACATCAGAATTCTCCCTATCACTGCCTTATCCAGACCCTTATTATTTTTAATCTAAAGGACTTAGAAGGTTTCCTCTGATGGTGTCCTGCCTCATGCTGCTCTCCTCTCCACCCATTTAGAACTTACATCAGGTGTTCTTATACTGGCCTCCTTATTCTCTGATCCAGTCTGATTACCTCTCCCACCTAAAGCCTTTCAGTGATGCAGGATACTAACATTTCCCTTAATATGATGGCAATTATGTAAAATCAAATCTTCATGGAAAAAACACTGGAAAGAAAATGCATTAAAATATTACCAGCATTGATCTCAGCATGGATTCTTTTATTCTTTGTAGTTTTTGGCATGTTCCAAATTTTCTACAGCATTTTATAATCAGAAAGGAAGTTACATGAAAAAGCAAATATCTTTCTTATGGATCCAGTTGACCATGCATTTGACAAATAGTTTATCGAGTGCCTTCTATGTTCCAGGTACTGTTCTAGGTGAACAAAAACAGTTTAGTGACTAAAATAAAGATTCCTGTCTTTATAATCTAGTGGGGAGAAAGAGGCAATAAGCAAGAGACATAATAAGGAATTATATAGTATGCTAGAAATTGATAGGTACTGTGGAAGAAAGGAGGAGTAGAGAAGGTTAAAGGGGATCCAGCACATGGGAGATGGAGGGATGCCGACTTTCTGAGTTAGGCAGTCAGATTAGGCTTCATTGGGAAGGTGACATTTGAGCAAAGACATGAAGCAGAGTTGGCTGTGTGGCTGGCGGAGAAGGAGTATCCTGAATTGAGCAGCCAGAGGCAGAAGATGGAGCATGTCTTTATATGTTTATTGGCCATTTGGATAATCCTTTTGTGAAATGCCTGTTCAAGTCTTTTGCCCATCATTCTATTGCATTGTCTGTCTTTTTTGTTTTGATTTTTGGGGGTTCTTTATATATTATTTAAAAGAGGCCTTTGTCAGGTGTATGTATTGCAAAACTTCTTCCATAAGCTTGTCTGCCTTTATATTCTCCTAATGTCTTTTTATGAACAAAAATTTAATTGTTGGTTTCTTTATGGTTTGCATTTAAAAATCAGTGGATTTGAGGTACAGAATTAGTCTGAAAAAGAACCCAGAAAATGTTCAATGCCTACCATGCCTACAGATGCCTCTTGAGAAAAGCATTCTTTTTACATAAGGTGCTACCTGCAAAGAGCTGATAGGCAGGGTTGGTGCCTTAGCCAGGGACATGCGCAAGGAGGGTGAGCCTGAGGAAAGTGAGGAGCTTTGGAGGCCCTCCCCTGTCCCTGATAGGCAGAGGTGTATGGTGACAAACTGACCCAATCAGATCCTCTCCTTTGTTTTTTGTTTTTCAAAAAACATTTTATGTATTTTTTTAGAGATGGGGGAGGGAGCGAGAAAGAGAGGGAGAAAAACATTGATGTGTGAGAGAAACAGATCAGTCCTTTGCCTCTTGCACACACTCCACTGGGGACTTGGCCTGCAACCCAGGTATGTGCCCTGACCAGGAATCAAACCAGAGATCTTTCAGTTCACAGGCCAGCACTCAACCCTCTCAGCCATACCAGCCAGGGCAATCCTCTCCTTTGTTAAGAATAAATGCTAGGCTAGATGAGAACCTGTCTTCCATCTTTCCCTGGCTCAGCAGAGGCTCCCTCCTTCTGTCAAAGGTCAGTTAGTTCCCTGACTTGGGGCTAGACCCAATTCTTTCTGGCTTAAGAACTTGACTCCTTTGATTGTGTCCTTTTCCTGTATCATCAGCCTTCCATCTGCTCATCAACTTATTGCCTTTTCCCCTTCTTGCCACCACCCCTTTTTTCCTGTTCCCATCACAGCAAAACTTCTCATCGTTATCCCCACAAATTCTGTCTTCCTTTCTTCACCTCTCATACTTCTAGTGCAACCTGGCATCTACTCAACTGCACCTGTAAAACTGCACTTGTCAAGGTCAAAAAGGACCTCCATTTTTCCAGATCTAATGGACATTGTTCTTTTTTTACCTCAGCAACCTTAAAAAGAGTTGACCACCTTCTTGAAATGGTGTTCTCTTTTGACTTCCGCATCACTGTGTCCAGATTTTCCTCTCACCTCACTGCTTGCTCTTTTCAGAGTCCTTTGTTGACTCGTTTTCACTAAGTCAAGCCACTAAAGTGATATTGACACTTCTAATTTGCTCCTGTGATACTGAACAGCACAAATAATTTATAAATGTTCTCAGGGCTTGTTCTTGACTTCTCTTTTCCCTTCTCTCTACAGTAGTTCCATGGGTAATTACATTCATAGCTGTGGCTTTAAATACCATCTATAGAATGTGGCTCTATATATTCCTTTCTCTAGCCCAGACCTCGCCCCTCCCATACTCATATAGTTAGCTGCTTACCTGACACCTGCTTTTTGAAATCTCACAGTCAAGTCACTCTTAGCGTGTCTTCTTTGGACTTGATTCTCAACCACCGCTCCAAGCTCGGTCTTCTTCAAGTCTTTGTTATCTCATTAAATAGCACCACCATTTACCTAAAGTCAGAAACATGGAAGTCATTCTTGGCCTCTCAGTCTCCCTCACACTCCATCCATTGGCAAGGCCTGTCAGTTCTCATCATCCACTCTCCATCTCTGCCTCCACCACCCTGGTCTGAGGCACCCTCCTGAACTCTCCTCATGCAGTACAAAATCTTCCTAACTAGTCTCACTGCTTTCATCACAGCCTCCTTTACTCCTCTGCAGTTTTAAAAATCTAAATCAAGTCATTCAGCTCTCCTATCTAAAACGCTTTGCGACACTCCGTTGCACTAACTGTAAAATCCACATTCCTTACCAGCATGCTTTGTAGCTGGCCCCTGCCCTCCTCTCTGCCCTCATCTCCTGTGCTGCCCCTCCATCCCTACATACGATGATACTGACGCTTTCCAGGTTCTCAGCTGACCGAGCTCCTTCGATTCGCTCCCTCAGTCTGCGTGGGCTGGCTCACTCCTCCTCCTGTATGTCTCAGTCTAAATGCGACTTCCTCAGGGCCTCCCTTGACCACTCTAGGTAGATCGCCGTATTCTTACCTACCCTATCACTGTCACAATTATAATTATTCGGATCTAGCATTCATTACAATTTGTAATTATTTAATTAATTTATTTCTTCATTTATTACCTGTCTGCCTTATTAGTATGTGAGCTCTATTAGGATAGACACTACGGTCTTTACCGCTGTGTAACGGAGTGCCTCTTGGCCTCCGGTCCCATCGCTGCTCTTCAGGTGAACTTTTGGGACCCAAAGCAATGGAGCAGCTGAAAAAGAGATGCTGTTCCTTCATGTTCCTTTGGATACTAAGGATTCATCCTAAAGTAACTTGGACTTGTCTGGCTTTCTTCCAAATTCTAAGAGCCAGTTAACAGAAATGATGATAAAGTGGGCCCAGTTATATAATATGTACTTTCTCTTGGGTATTCCATGAGATTCTGGCTTCTGATTACCTTCTAGGGTTGCCATTTGAATACAACAAAGCACAGATCTGTGGGCTGGTATCTTTTGACTAGGTTAGTCTATGTGTTTTGCGGGTTCTGGTGGGTGTTCTTCAAGACATGACGTACATTGTATGTTTGGTGAAACACACCCCAGCTATTACAAGTGTTTCATATTTCCCTTTGTCTTTGGTTGTTCCATATGTTTAATAAGCTAGCTGTTATTACCCAAGCTGATTTATTTTTCCTTTGCAGACCTTCATTAGTCCTCACTATGCGATAAGTCTGGTGTCAGCATACGTGATCATGGTGCTCATGGGCACCTGGGCATTCTTTGTGGCTGGAGGCAGCTGCCGAAGCCTGAAGATGTGCCTGCTATGCCAAGACAAGGACTTCCTCCTCTTCAACCCGCGCTCCAGATAACCTCTGAGAACCTGCACCTCTCAAACAGTAAGCCACGTCTTTAGAGGAAGCACAACTGTGCCTTTTTCTAAAATTCCCTTTTCCCTGTGGAATTTAGTAAAAACGAAACTAACTAGATATGGCTTTCGTGCAACACTCTCTGAAAGGGAGTTTGTCCTGGCTGCACATGAGAACCAGTTGGCAGGGAAGCATAAAGAATACTGATTTCTGGGCTTTGCCCACCCAGTGTAATTGGTCTGGGCATTTGGCAATTTAATTTGTAATTTTTTATTTATTTTTATTTTATTGTATTTTTTTTTCCATGCAGTAATTTTTAAAAGCTTCCTAGATGACTGGTGCAGCCAGGTTCAGAACCATCGGTGCCCAAATAGGAGCTTCCTGAGACCACCACAAGTAAATAAGAATCAGATGTTCAGCTGTCTCCTCACTCCCCTTGTGCTGAATGTCAAATCCTGGTCAGCCTTTGTCTTTTTCAGTTCTGAAGTCACAAAAGGCTAAAGGGCTAGCATCTCTGTGAACTGTTCTCATGTACTTCACTACCCTGTTTTATGAGGACATGGTAGTCTGTGCATCAAAATACAATAGTAAATTGCACTGACTTACTTTGATAATTTAGCCAAAGTAAGCTATTTATTAACAAGCAGTTATTTGTAGTTTCTCCAGTCTTGATTTTACTTTCCAAGGCATTACATTGTTTTCGAACATAGATTCAGTTTCTTTAACTAAACACCAATTATTTTCTGAATTCCTGGGAAAGCATTATAAAACCAAGGATTTTTGTGCCATTCTGTTGTCTCCCCTGAGTTTAAGGCTTTTCATGGGCTCTGGCCTGCAGCCGAGTGCCAGTTGCTGGGCTCGTTGAGGTGACTCGCGCCTTTCTCTCTGAGCAGCACTGCAGGCTGCTGAGTGACGGACCCTGCAAAGGGCCTCAGTGGAGCTGGAAGAAGTTTATGACAAAAACAAACGAAAAGGGTGGTGTTGACACTTTTAATTTGCTCCTGGGATATTAACCAGCACTTCCTCCCTAATGGCATAGGTGTAAAGTTGGGAATATGTCTCAAACTGCCAAATTCAGGCTTTTACATAATCTATGTAGTCTATAGATCTAGTAAATGTCTTTGGGCTTTGGTAGCAGATACAGCATTCCTTTTATAGGAATGCCCAAGGTGTGTGTTCAGCTTCTAAACAACCCTTTTGATTTCCTTTATGAAGGGGAAACGCCAGTGAACTGTGCCTTTACTCACTAGAAATTGTTCCCAGGTGATGGCTTTAGGAAGCTGATGGTGTGAAATGGAAATTTCCAACACATTAAAGTGATAGATACCCTCAGTGAATCCCATCTGTGCAGTAGAACATCCAGATGAAGTCGGAGCAGCAATGGCAGGGCTCACCGGTGACGTGACAGATGGAAGGGTTTGACAGTGCCGTAGTGGGGAAGAGTCGTGAACGTGTTCAAAATGGGAATGTGGCCAGTGTTTTGGGCCAGCCACTCATCATTCCAGGGACCAGGACCTTACACTGGAACCTTTCTCAGTGAAATCCCCTCGCATGTTTAAATTACTGGAATTTCTCAGTCTAGTGATTCAAGAGCAGTAGGGTTTCTAGCAAGGCTGTGAATAGTCTGATAAGCAATTACAGTCATTCCCCTGAGGTCTACTTCAATACTCATACCAATGCTTCTGCTGGAGTTTGCAGTTTCCCACCTTTATACAAGATTTCCTTAGACTCAAAGAGTCATAGGCAATGTCAAGGACATAGAGACTAAATAGTGCAATTTACTCTGCAGAGCTGGAACAAGATACCCACTGAACTGGGCTTTATTCCTATTGGAACATGGTATTTTTTGTTGAACAGAATAAGAAAAATACATAGTTGGTTATTACTATTGATTTATAAATCTCTTATATTGATAACCTGATAAAATATTTGCTGATCTATAAATGTAGAAAAATCTGAGAATACTAATGTTAGTCATATTTGAGCCCTGAGGATGTCCTCTGTGCATTGATAGTTTAATATTAAGAAGCTGAAATGTTGTAAAATCTCACTTATAAAAGCTTCTCAGGTGAGGAAATTTTCTTTGATGGTGAGACTGTTGTCTTAGTTCAAGAAGTAATAACCTTTGATGACCTGTGAGTAAAGGAACTTTGTATTCCTGGTTTCTCTTAGAACGTGAGCATTGCCATAGTTAGCGTAGGCACTGTTGTTGCAAATAACCTACTAGCCTTGCTTTGCCTGATGCCAGGGAAGCCCAGGGGGGAGAATATAGTCATCTTGTGTTGCTACACACACACACACACACACACATACACACTCTCTCTCTCTCTCTCTCTCTCTCTCTCAAAAATTTTGGCATCTATAATGAGCTTTCTGAACCCTGACAGTATTTGGAAAGGAGGAGGTGCCTGACAGTGTTTGGAGAAGAGGAGGAGGTGGTGATGATGTTGTGTGCTGTCCTCCACACAGGACTTTCTCAGTTTGGAGGGAAATGTAGGTATAGTAAAGTTGACCTTGGAATGTGAATATTGTTGCAGCTCTTGAATATGTTGCCATGTGAATAATAGAGATTGCTTTTGTTGCTCTTTAATAAATTTGTATTTATTTTTAATTCATTTGAATTAGTAGTAGTAACCAGAGAAGTTGTGTTACCTTGCTCCTGGCCTGCCTAACGGGCCGGATAGCCCTTTCAGTGTATCTTAATGAAGATATAGCTAAAGGAATAAATGATGATATCTGCAGACTGCATAGAAAATGGTTTTTGTTCCGAATATTAATGTCTTTATACTCAAACACATTTCAGTGATTGCTGAGAGTGTCAGAGTCACTGAAAAATGCTAGATATTCTTATCCACAGAGTCAGTAGCATTCTCAAGCACTTCCCGAGAGTGCTAGCTTTTTGTTAGCAAAGTTTTTCTGGGTCCACACCATTGCCAACTCCAGGTAGACAGAGTAGATGTCACAACAAAACAATTTTAAAGTGCTTTGCTTAGAGTACTTCATTTATGATTACAATGTTTACATTTCTCATTTAATAAAAGGCTTTTTAACTTCATTCTGTTCAATTTTAGTGTTTGGAGAGGTGGGTACTATCTTCATGCACAATATGTATCATTTTATATGTTTTACTGTTGTCATATATACTTGTAATATCAGACCTTAAATTCACTACACAATGCAATAGACTCTTTTCAGACTGGTATTTTTTAGTGAACAATAAAAAGATTGTTTGGCACTACTAATTTTCCATGTTTCTTCTTTTTTTGAATAATGTATCCTTCAGTATCTGTTATTGTCAGTTTTTGTCCCTTATAAAACTTGGCTGTACATTCTGTTGTTTATGGCTGGTCAGCTCTGAGACTTTTTTTTCAAAGATAAATCTTTGCTATTTGATTTAAAATCATAAGGCCTGTTTAATTTCTCTGTCTCCAGAAACACTTTGGTGCACAGAAGTTCCTTGAGATGTCTTAAACCAAGTGGAGGAGAATCTTCAAAAATCTCAGAACCTCACCTTGAAAAATCTAATTGTAAAATAATGAATTTATAAAGTACCATATAATTGTGCCTAAAGATGGGAGTTGACTGACAAGGAGAGTGCAGTTCAGTTTCTACCCAGTGATCCTGAGCAGCCTACAGAGAGTCCTTTGGTTTTCCTTCCCCTTCATGAGGAGACAGTGCAGCTATGAGTTCAAGTTTGGCCTTTGTCATTAGAAAGGCTACACAGAGATTTGTTGTGGCCTGAAACTCAAAACCGCATGATGCCTGTTCACTCTGATTTAAAATGAGGCTGTTCCAGGTTTATACTAACTGTGTTATTAGATGAAATATCCTTAGGAACCAAGGGCTTTTTTGTTTTTTTTTGAAGATTTTATTTATTTATTTAGAGAGAGGGGAAGGGAGGGAGAAGGTGAGGGAGAGAAACACTGATGTGTGAGAGATACATCAATTAGTTTGCCTCTTGTACACTCCCAACTGAGGGCCTGTCCCGCAAACCAGACATGCACCCTGACCGGGAATCGAACCAGTGACCTTTTGGTTTGCAGGTCAGCACACAGTCTACTAAGCCACACCAGCTAGGGCAAGACCAAGGGCTTTTTGCTCCTAACTTGTAAGCCAGTGGAAGACATGTGCATTCCCCAGGTAACTGTAATGAATCTGCAACAAATGTCTATCAATAGAACTTTGTTTCAAAGAGCAGAACACTTTACAACCTTTAAAAAAAAGTGAGGATATTTGGAATATGTTGAAAACAAAAACAAAGTGTAGACCATTCTTCCATTTAAAAATATTTCTCATGCCAGACATTGTGCTAGATTTTGAGAATACCAGAGTGCAAAATAGACTGGGATGATCCTAGCCCTTACAGAGCATACAATATGTATCCAATTGTCCATTTTATTAAAAATTTAAAAATGAATATTAAAATATGCACATACACAAAGTCTAGAAAGAGAAAACTAAATTGTTAACAATGACTATTTGAGATATAGGACTATGAGGGACTTCTGGCTTCATATGTAATTATTTTTATTTTTTAAATGAACATATATTATTTATGTAATCAGACAAAACCATAATTTAGGGCCACTTTTATGATATCTTATCTTTATCAGAAAGTGTATGTCATTCAATGCTTTTCACGATCTGATCCCAACCACTTTTTCCCACCTGCCCCCATTCCCTGTTCTCCCTTCCCACATATTCTCAAACACATCCCTGAGGCCTCTACTTCCTGTGCACAGTGGACTCAGTACCTCCACATTTTTGCCTTTGTTTTAAGTTCCAACCAAAAAATACCTATTCCTCCTTTGAGGTCCTGCTCAAACCTTTCCTGATTAGACTCAGAAAAGTAAGTAGCTTTCTCCACTGTGATTCCCTAGCATGTTTTTCAATCAAAGAATAATTATATATAGTAAAGTGCACAGATTTGAAGTGTATAATTAGAGGAGTTTTAACAAATGTGTACACCTGTGTAACTACCACCCCCATCAAGACATAGAACATTTCCTTTTCCCCAGATGGTTCCCCGCCTTCCACAGAGGACTACTGGTTCCAACTTCTATCACCATAGATTAGTGTCACTTGTTTTGAATTTCATGTAAGAGGAATAACACAAAATATACACTTTTCTGTATGACTTCTCTCACCCAACATAATCTTCTGAGAATCATCCATGGATTTGCATATAGCAATACTTTGCAACTTTTTGCTGAATAGTATCCCATCTTATGGCTATACAATTTGTTTAGGCATTCTTCTGTTGATGGACACCTAGAATTCTCTTCATACTTTTCTTCTGTGTATTATGATTAGTGGTTTCTGTCTGTCTCCCCAAGTGCAAGATTGCGATACTAATTATCATTGAATATTGGAACTCTATGTAAATCATGGTTGCATCCCCATCACTTACTCTGTGCTTAGCAGACAATAGTTCATTAAATCTTTGCTTTTGAATAAGGAGGTGTGAGAAAGAAAGGGTTATTAATAACACTCCTGACCCCAAATGTGTGGGTTTTCCCACACCAAGCAATTCTCCAGTTCTCGGTGGACACAGACTGTGGATGTCCTACAATTTAACTCAGTTCTGACACTGTCAAATGTTAGCGCAGACCTCACAAATTAAGGGCTCAATGCCACAAGACTGCCTCCACTTCAGACAGCAGTTGCCAGTCCCAGGCTGTCACTTGTGCTTCTGACTAACTGGCTTTAAATGGTGGGTTCCATGACCCCTCCTTACGTCCGAGAATTTGCTAGAACAGCTCACATTTCCGTATATTCACCAGTTTATTATAAAGGGTATTATGAAGGATACAGATGAACAGGCAGAGAAAGAGGTACAGAAGCTGTGGAGAGGGGGCACAGAGCCTCTACGCCCCCTCCAGGCGCACCACCTCTCGGCGCCTTCATGTATTGGGAGCTCTCTGCACCTGTAGTTTAAGGTTTTTATGGAGGTTCCATTATGTAGGCCTGATGGATTAAATCATTGGCCATTAGTGATTAAACTAAATGCCCAGCCCCTCTTCCCTCCCTGAAGGTCAGGGAGTGGGGCTGAACGTTCCAGCCCACAAATATGGTTGGTTCCTTGGCAAGCAGCCCCCATCCTCCAGCATCACCTCTTTAGCATAAACTTAGGTGTGGCGTAGGGGCTTACTATGAATAATATTTAGGAACACTATTCCAGGAACTGCGGACCAAATATATATTTCTTAGTGTATCACAGTATCCCAGGAGATTATTCCACATTTCACCCAGTGGCTATGGCCAGGAATGAGTCCCTGGCCATGTGTGTTCTCCGCAGAAAGGATGTACTATGTTCCGGGAAGATTTTCAGACGGTTATCTGTTGGGTCGTTGGGAAGGAGAGAAACTAAGATGCGTAAGAGCTGTTGTTGGTTCTCTAGGTAGCTTGGGAAACTAGTTTCAGCCAATGTACTGACTGGCTATGGTACCTGCCTCACCAGAAGAGCCTCTGCTCCTTCTGGAGAAGCCAGTGGATTCCGTCGTCACGGACACAGAGCTGCAATAGAGGTCTCAGTCTGCCCTTGAACTCATAAACCCTTTTGTTTGTTGCCTTCATTGCAGGTAATTAAAAGTTAATATTTGAAATGAGTGAACTCAGGCAGAAATAATGACTTTGACCTAGAGCATCTAGAGGCCATATCCAGCCAGGTGAATAGAGATCGTGCTCCCCGCTGGGCTCGCCCCCTCAGGTTTCTCCTTTTGCGTGAGCCAGGACGAGCTCGCAGGGAAGTGCCAGGATGGGGCAGGGCATCCTTTGGCTGTGTAGGGTGTTTTTTTTTCTTCCTTTTTTGGGGGGCAGCTTTATTGAGGTAGCATCGATATAAGGTAAATGACACATATTTAAAGTGTAAAATATGAACAGTTTTGACATATGTGGAGAAACCATCACCACAATCAAGATAATGAACACATCCATCTCTTCAACAGTTCCTGGTACCCCTTTGCAATCCCTTCATCTCCCACCTCATCCCCAGGCAACCACTGATCTGCTTTCTGTCACTATAGTTTAGTTTGCATATTTTATACAAATGGATGGGTGTGTGTGTGTGTGTGTGTGTGTGCGCGCGTGCGCGTTCATTCCTTCTTTCCAGTTCAGCCTTAGGAAAAAGGAAAGTTCAATGAATGTGCCCTTGGGAATTTGTCCTGCTGAATTAGGAGGTGAGGGTAATATCCCTGGAGCCGAGCTGGCTCCTGTGCTTACTTGCAGTTGTCCATCCTTGGTCAGGCTTTCCTGAACAGAGTCCAGGGTTCAGTGTTGCCAATCAGATTGGAGGCAGGAGGTCGTTGTTAATTTTCCAGAAAACATTGGCACAGATCCCTTTAGTGCCTTTAACCTGAGGAGTTTTATGAGGTTACAGTGTGACTGAGATATGCGTAGTAAATTCTGTTATAGGAAGGTGTTTCCATGTCACTGGAGCTGTGGAAGGTGGACCCCACACTGTCACTGAAGATCCTCGCACTGCAGGAGCTGTATGACTTTGACTTAGCCCAGAGCCAGAGCCCTTGATTAATGTCCCACTTACAAGATAAGGGCAACGCTCCATTTTTCCTGGGGTTGTTGAAGTGCAGGTGCCTTGAAACAGTCAAGGGTATATAAGTAGGAGTCAATTCCAACTCTCTGGTTGACCTGCAGTCATAACGATATGCTGACCTCATTGCAGTCAAGTTTTATGGTGCATAATTGCATAGCACAAAGCACGGCCCTTACCTCCCCGCAGTCATTCTATAATGAAAGGGCACGGGTGACACACAGGGACCTCCTGTGTGATAGTGTCACACCTTCCCTCCACGCGCTGGGCCCTGCATCCCCATTTCCACTGGGAACGTGGATGGTGAGGCCAGAGTGGGGCCCACTGTACAGGTGGCACCCCTGCTTCCCCGCAGGTGGCCCCGGGAGCCTGGTTTCCTCTTGTAAGTGGGTCTCAAGACTTCTTCCCACACCTTGAAGGAAGGAAGATGGCTTGTTCTAATGGAGTCACAGCTAACAATTCAAGAGACTCAGGTTTCAGGTGCTCGCCCCTTTGGGGCTGGCTGGCTCCAGATGAGTGAAGACACCTTGTCAGGTGCAGGAAGGTTAGGACTCAGAGGACATGGAGGTTGGGTGGGGCCACGGTTAGTATTTGGCCAGGGACCTGCCTCGAGGTACCCCCCACCCCCAGACTCCACAGTTAACCGGTTGCCCTAGTATCCACAGCCTGAGCTGCTGATAAGGCACAGGGGATGCCCCAGGCTGTAGTCACAGCAGAGCACTTGGATCCCAGGGTGTGGCCCAGGGGCGTGGCCAAGGTGGGGAAAGAGGTGGGAGGAGACTGGTAGCTGGTCTAAGGTCAGCTGGTCTTATGCTCCTTCAGCTCTTTTTTCTCCTGCCCTGCATATCTGCCTTCCTGGATCCCCCATTCTCTACCTCTAGTCCCTCATATCTCACCACACCCCCTCCCCAAAGCTTTCTGCCAGGGTTTGTTTTTGTGTGAAAGCCCTCTTGGTTTAACCAGCTCTTAGGGTATGTCAAAGGAAGAGGTTAGTGTTCCGTATCTGCACAGTGGCTGTGTCACAGGTGGGCACAGGTAACCAGGTTCTTGGTGATCGTGGACAAAAAATTGAACCAAACAGAGTTTATAGCAGAAAGCGAGAGAAAGCAGATTTATTAAGCCACACAGAACATGGGAGCAGACCAACTCTGAGCAGAGTGGAGCAGAGCAGAGCCTAACAGCCCTGACCTCAGGGGCTAGAGGGCTTTTATTCCTTTATGGTGGGTCTCCCATGAGTTCCTTGATTAGCTACTGGGATGGGAGTCCCACAATGCTAATTTATTATAATGATATTAAAATGAAGCAGGGGTCAAGTAGCATCTTCTGCACAGCTGCATTCCTGACTCACTAGGATTCAATGCTTTTCCAGAAATCAGGAACTACCGGTCTTAGAACAGGGTCTCTGTCCTTTGTCCGTGTTCTTTGTCTTAACCCTGGGGCACCGCTGGAGTTTCCTCCGTCCTGCCTCAGCTGTGCTGGCCTGGCCACATGTGGCTACTGAGCACTTGGAGTGTGGTTTGTGAAACTGAGAAACTCAATTTATTTTATTTTATTAAGTTTAAATTTAGAAGCTGATTGATTCAATTATTTGGAAAACTTTTAAGTATCTTTGGAGCAAGTATGTGAATCTGCTTTTTCAGCTGTAAATTTTATGAAGTCCAAATATAGATCAAATGTTTTCATTGAAAATTTAGCATCTGAATTGAGATGTGCTGGAAGTGTAAAATACTCACTAGATTTCAGACTCACTACAGCAAAAGAATGAAATATTTCATATCAAAATATTGATTACATACTGAAATTGTGGTGTTTTGGATCTATTGGGTTATATAAAATTAATGTCACTGGTTTCTTTTTCTTTGGTGTTGCTGCTAGGACTTCAAAATTTCACGTGTGTTACTGTTACCAAATGTGGACCCATTGGCAGGGGAAACCTTAAATGCTATTACCAGAAAAACACACCCCCTTTCTCGAGGGTCCCTCAGTTCTAGGTTCTTTGCCTGCTGCCCATAAACATTATGGCCCTCAATGGCAGAGCTTGGTGAAAAGGAAAGGAACTATTTACTCAAAAGTCATGCAGGTTTTGAATTGTTAAATCTCAAAATCCCTTCAAAACACCCACCAACACACATAGTGCTGCTCCCCCACCCTTTTTCCCAGTCAGGGGCACTGTCCTTTAGAAGAAGAAGAGAAGTCCAGAGTGTGGCTGGGCAGGCCTCTTGTGGTTCCCAGCCATCCGCTGCATTGCAGTGATCTCCAGTTCTTAATTCAGAATTGCGTGGCACCTTCTTATGGCTTATTAGCAAGAATCCTTTCTCCCCTTTCCTTCCCACTGGTCTTCGCCTTGTTCCCTCGCAGCATGGAGCAAACCATCTCCAAGCTCTCGTGCACACGCACTGTAGCCGGGGAGCTGCCTGCATGGCTGCTGCATCTTGCTTTCCTAATCAAGCTTTCCTAAGACGAGTGGTCAAGGGAGCCCCCACTCCGCCCCTGAAACTGCGTGGTCAAAAGCCTCTAGCATGGCTGCTGCGCCTGGGTCCCAACCTCGGCGGGAATCTCCAACTCCTTTGGCAGGTCCTGCAACCTGGTAGCTGCTTGCCCAGTTACATCCTGGGTTAAATTTATGCAAACCTTCTTGGTTAGCCTTGTCGATATGCAAAATAACCATCTTTGCATATGAGGTTTGAAGCTATCCTGCTGTTATCCACGTGCAAAATGACTCTCAAAGGCCCTGCTCCCTGTCTCCCATCCTCCCTGGCAGCCCGCCTTGGTGGGGGTGAGAATATCCTCTATTTTTCTTGGATACCCCAATTTCTGGTCCCCATTACAAATCCCTTTTGGGGAGCCTAGCTGCACCCTGTTATGTCGCATTATTTTTTATTGTATTTCTGCTGAACTGTGAGCGCTAAATCGTTCACTTAGCTGGGTTTCAGTAATGGCCAACCCATGGCCCTTGCCACCACACTCCTGATCATCCCTGCAGGTGCATATTGAGTACAGAGAATGAGGGGAAAGGCTGTGGAGAGAGAAGGGAGGTGACGTATTTTGCATCTGTCTCAGTCCTAAGGGAACTGAAGTGAAAGCTGGAAGCTTTTCTGAGTAACTCAAATGAACAATGATGGGCCTAGTTGTAACCTTCAGAACACTGCCTCCTTTAACCAAACAGAATGTGAAATCTGGAAATAGACTGAAGATCATACGAAGGGTGGTGATAGCATGTTTTGCAAAAAGGATCCAAAATAAGGTAACAGTCAGGCAACCAAGAGAGGTCACCAACCTACTAGGTACAATACCCAGTGAAGAGACGTAAGACCCGTTCCCTGTATTCATAGCACTTTGCTTAAGAACACCTCCATCTTTTCCAGACATCTGTTTATATCTGACTTCTTCCCCAGGCGCTTTCCCGAATCACCCTAGACTTCCCAGCTCCCCTAAGTATGCATCCGTGTGACCCTGGGGCTGCGCACGCTTCCATGCTCAGTGAAGTGATTAAGTACTTCGCTGTGTTTTTTCCTTTGGAGCCAGGTTCTAAGACCTGGATGCAAACGACCTGATTATTTATTCTGATTGGTTGCTTATCACCATAGATAGGGAACTTCAAAGTGCTTTGCCAATAGTGGTGCTTTAACCTCACCTCCAAACAAATCAGTCTCATGTGAAAAACTTTATTTATAGTTTCTCATATTTACAGTGTATGTGTTCATTACAATCATTCGTACAATACAAACAGAAGTGCTGGATGGACCTTCATCACAGCAGCATATGGTCCATCTGGGGCACAGGGACGGGGGCGCTGCAGAGCCCTGTGTTCCCCAAGGGCCGGCCAGGAGGCCTTCAGAGGGTTTAGTGAAGACAGGAAGAATTTAAGGTCTGAACTTGAAAAGGGACTAAAAGTCAATGCAGCAAAATCCTAGGATGTCTATTAAGAAAACAGGTATAGGTTTTTACGATTTTTACCAGATGATAGTAAAGAAACAAAGCAGAGAGACTCAAGACCCCTGTTAGTGAGAGGCAGAGAAGCTGGGGCCTTCCCGGGTCCCTCACCAGGGCACCGGTCCCCTTTTGTGGTGACTGGTGGAGGTGCAATGAGTGAAACCTGAGGAAGGTTTCCCAGTTCCTAAGGTGGAGCCTCAAGAGTCCCTTCAGGATTAGCAAGGAACTTGCCTGCTGATTCTGGGAGCCTTGTGCTTGTGTTTGCTCCCCTGGCTTTGTGTTGTCTCAGCCACCGGGGCAAGAAATGAGGGTCTGGGCTGTGCCGAGGGGTGAGAGGGCAAGAGAAATGCCATTGTTGTTACTAGCCAGCATGTCCTTCTTTTTATGAAAGCCATTGTGCCAGGTACAATGGTCTTTTCGTTCTCTCACAAAATGTCTGTAAAAGGTGTAGAGAGCTTTTTTGAGCTAGTCTCATAGCTCTGGAGCGGTTTCTATTGGTTTCTGATTGGCAACTTTGGGCCAAGGCCAAGAAAGCCTTCCCTAATTCACATTGCTCAGTCATGGGGGTTGCCCCTGCTGTCATTTGATCAGCACTGGGTGTGCTAAAGGCGGGAGAGGGATGCCGCCTTGGGCCCCAGCCCTGTTAAAGGTCTCGCGAACACCCACATTTTTGAGGCTCCATGAGGTCATGTGTAACTCTGCCCAGCAAACAAGCTACGGAGACGTAGGGCTTGCGTCACTACAAACGGTTGTGACAGTAGACAAAGACCTCTCAGGGTCAGAGGGAGGAACAGAAGGAAAAAGATGACATAAAGAAATTGGTGCTTCAGGAGGACATTCTGCGCTGTCGACATGAGACTGCACCAGGAAGTTCTGTGTGAGCGGTGAGGTGCTGACCACGAGAGGCGGGTGGTGGAGGCTCCTCAGTCATGGAACTAACTGGTCTCCACGGAGCTCTTGCATCAGTGGGAGGAGAGTGAAGGAGTTTGAGCTTCTCAAAAACTGCCTTTGGGGCTTCAGGGGAAGACCACGAGGAATCTTTGCAAACGTTCCCTTAGTTTGGTCCCTAAATACCATGCTGCCAGCCCCGGCACAGATAACTTCCTGCTGTTATGCCTTGAAAATATTTTTTGAGTCAGCCATGGTTCAGCATCTTCAATGTCAGGGAAGAAGGTAAGTCTCAGATCCAGGTTGAGAGTAGGGACCCCACAAAGCTGGCAGAAATGAAATTTGGGCAAAAGAGACAAAGTTCTTCAATCATTTTTGCATCTGCCTATTTTCTCTAGATTCTCAGTACTCATATCTACTCTAGGAGAGAGAAAGCAACAGCACATTTTCAAGGAATAGCCTAGTTATTTATAAAATATATAGGGTAGAAAACATAACTGCCCCACTGGCAGGAGGTTGGTCTTGAGCTTAACACTATGTCCTCTTTACACTTACAGCGTCTGAGACTTTCCAGATCATATGTGTCTTCTCATTCTCTAAGGTCTATCTGATCTAAAGGACATGACTTTGAAAATGCCTCTACTATATTTCAAAGACTATCTCTTGTTTTCTTTTTGTCTCAGACACCTTGACCCTTCCTGTATCAGTGCCTACCCCCCCACCCCCTCCCCCGCCACAAGTGCCCCAGGTTGCCAGGTCAGACTAAAGGTTTTGTCACAGAAAAAGGAAATCAGAGCAAAACAACACCACCTTCCCTGAGAAAACAAACTTGGGTTTCAAAAGCAGAACCTAAGCAGAGGGAGCACATTCTGATTTGAAGGCTTGGATAGGGAGCAGAATTTCCAGGACATTTGAAAGCATACTTGAGTGAACCCCTGAATAAAAAGTGTTTTTCAATCAATAACACCCCCACCAGGTGACATGGTTTATGTCCCCAGAATCCAGACCCCTTACTGGTCTCACGCAGATGAAGCAGACAGCCCGGAATTCCTGCCTCCTTGGGGAGCTCTTCCCACCCACGATCGCACCGAGAGTGGCCGTAGCATGAGAATGGCGGGGCGCCCGGCTAGAGGCCCCTCGAGGGTCTGGCATGTCTGTGGGTTGAGCTCCAGAGAATCCTCAGGTATTTCAAGTGTCCAGGGAGCCACAGTGTGTAGCATCCAAAGCAAAGTCCTTCCTTGGATGAGCCTGAAGTGCCTGGGGCCTCAGGGATGGGCCTCAGTCTCCTTCTTGATGGCCGGTTTGTAAATGACTCCTTTATTGTCACTTTTTTTGCTACTAGAACAAGAACACAGGAGTTTCGTTAATCAAAGGGGAGAGAGAGGTAGAGTACAGCCTGACTCGGCTATCGAATGAGGCAAGTGTTAGGGCAGATTCCTCTCTTGGGGACCTTTTCCCGATTCTGTTGGTTTTAGGGGGAATGGCTGCAAATAAAGATTAACCAAAATGAAACCCGTTCATTTTCCAACTGTTCATTTTAACACCTGATAATACGAGGCCTGCATTTTGAAGAAGGTCTCATTTCTGCCCCTGCTTCAAACATTCGATTGCATGACGGGGTTCCTGGCAATCTTTTTTTTTCATACCAGGAAAATGAATTAGGTTTTAGAAAAAAATAAATGTGAAAATAAAAACATGAGCAAAGAGCATTAGTAACTAATGTGAGTGAGAAATCAAGTTTCCCTTCACTTTCACTGTTGGATTCACAGAAGACAAATACCATATGATTTCACTTCTATGTGGGATCTAATAAACAAAATAAACAAACAAAATAGAAACAGACTCATAGATACAGAGAACAGACTGACAGCTGTCAGTGGGTGTCACGGGTTAGGGGGCTGGGTGAAATAGGGGAATGGGTTAAGGAAAAATACCTCATAGACACAGACGTCAGTAGGGGAATTATCAGAGGGAAGGGAGGCGGGGGGAGATAGAAGAGGGTAAAGAGAAGATCAATGGTGATGGACGCAGAGTAGATTACATAGGGCAGTGTACACACAATATGATATACAAATGATGTATTATAGAATTGTACACTTGAAACCTAGTTAATGAACCAATGTCACCCCAATAAATGTAAAAATCTTAGAAGGAAGACAGCCTTGCTGCTTACATTTGGGCAAATGGGACCTCCCCCACAAAGCAAGAGACTTGTCCAAGGTTTTAGCAGTGGCAACAAGGCTGGCAGCCTCACCGCTCTAAGTGCAGCGACCCTTGAACAACCAGCATCTCATGCAAAGGAAGTGTGGCCCCTGGGGTTAGTGTTGGTGCAGGTGACAGGGGCTCTTCACTGTGCAGGCTGCCTTCCCAGACACATTTTTCCTCATGGGCACACAACCACCCACTCCCATTTCAAAGCACAACCAGCTCACCTCCTCTTCCTTCTGTAAAGCCAGATGGATACTGCCAGGACAATGCAGATGCCGAGAGCACCAGCCAGGGCCACCGAAAAGATGATACCTGGTGAACGGGCAGGGGACACACATTACATTCCTCCTTTCGTCTCTTCCCACAGCACGTGGGTGTAGAGTCAAGTGAAAGCTTCGTAATCATCCACCAAAAGGTGGAATTTCCCCACATGGGCTCTGGTGTTTGGCTTAGCAGGACTGGTTGGAGTACTTAGAGGGGGCTGTTTGCAAAGTGGTCATTCTCCTGCAGGGCTTCTCAAATTTGCACCGGCATCGTCTGAAGAGCTTGTTTAAAATGTAGACTTCCTTTGAGTCCAGCCCTCAGAGACTGAGTCAGTCTGGAGTGGAGCCCAGGAATCTGCATTTTTACCAAACACCTCTGGCTGATGCTGATGCGCATGGTCCATGTACCACACTGAGAAACCTGGGCTACAGAAGAAGAACTTACTCCATCTCCACTTTCTGGACTTAAGGTCCACTAGGATGCCTCTTTATCAGGGTTGCTCCCATGTTCCATTACAGTCCTAAGCAGTCCAGAACAACCAGGGACCCATGCCCAAGGTCAGCTAGCCGGTCACCCAACCTCCACATTGGGCTCAGGCATGTATTTAGGCAATAGCTTCCAACCATGGCCAACAGAAGATCTTAGATAGGCTCTTTGAATGTACACATGCTATATAGAATGATTAGGTCTTTCATTAGGGGAGCATTTGATTGGCAATTCATCTTTGAATCAGAGAGTGACTTGACAGTAAGACCCACAGTGAGAAGGGGCCAGGAGCCAGAGCAGCAGCACAGAGAAGCATAGAGGATGGGCTGGAAGTACCACAGGCCCAGATCACATGGAGAATCACAGTGATCATCAGCTGCACATGCACGGCCTGCCGGCCACATACCCAGACTCAGTCCTGTGTAGGTAGGGCCTTGCACTTGAAAAGAGGAGGAAAAGATTGGAAATTAACCAAGTCAACCTGCAGCGGGTTTGACCAATGTGTCGAAGCTCTACATTTTGTTTGTTTGGAGGTCCTAGGCTTATACAGATGGGGTAGAGGGAACTGCCCACCTAGGGGATTCATGCAGTGATTCCCTCCTTCTGATGTTCTTTAATCACAGTAGTCTCTTGGCTTGGCCAAGACTTCAGCTTTTAATACAAAGTGGCCAAAGTGGAAGGTGAGGAAGGATAAGAATCACGGTCTACTTGGGCCGGCTGTTTTTTGCTTCTCTGGTACCCACCCGTCTTCCTCAGTAAGGAACCTGCCATGTTCTGGCTGGCTGGGGCAGGCAGAGCTTAGTTGGAACCTGTCACCAGGTCTCTGCCCTGTCCCATCCAGTCGTGTTGTCATGGTTTGGTTCTATTTTTCTCTGGCCCACTGGGTAAATGGAAGAAAGGCCTCCTCCATGCCAGCCTCCCTTCTGTGCTGTGTGGAACCAGAGAATTGTGGCTTTTCTCAGCAAGTTATTGTTGCAAATAAATGGGGTGGGTCAGGAGTCCTCAATGGGGCCGAAATAATGTCCGGCTATCTAAGAAGAAATCTCATAGTCAGGGACATCCCTGGGAGGGTCATGGGTGACTCCATCTCCTTTAGTAAGACAGAGCCCCCCTGGGTTACCCAGCCTGCTTTTTCCAGATTTCTTAAAACTATTCCCCACTCTCCTAGTGGGTCCCTCCTTCTAAAGAAAGTCTCTGTTTATACATATGCTCTTGGTGGTGGTTTTCTGACTTCAGTAGAAACTTCGAACGTGTGTGTACGGAGGGATGCTTATTCCAGGCTAGAGCTATGCAGAAGGTGGCCACCCAGCCTGACAAAAAGGAGAGCTTGTGTCCTCAGAGCCCCCTGTGGCAGCCGACACCCTGAGTGAGCCCTGACCAAGTATGAGATGCCAGCAAAGGGCCAGGAGCTTACTCTTGGGCCACTGGACAACCTAGGGAACAGACTTGAGACTGTGGGTGAGGTCTTGTTCACCCCTTCTGTCGTGGGGCTAGAGTCTGGCTGGTGCCCTTGAAGCCAACAGCCCTGTGTCCTTTCCCTCCTCTCCTTTTCTCCCATTTCTCAGGGAGTGTGCAGCCTCCCTCCCCCCAGTCTGGTCCCTGGGAGTCTGCTTGCCTTCCCTAGGTGGTCCTGGGTGGTTGTAAAGATAAACAAGGCAGGTATAGAGAGGAGCTGTCCACAAAGGACAGAGTGACCTGCTCTCTTGGTCCTTGTCAGCCACCACCAGTAGCCCACAGCCTCCCAAGCGGCAGAGAGAGTGGCTCCCCTGGCCTGATTCCGTGCCCCAGGCTGCCTCTTGTAACCTGAACACAAGGATCAGTCTGTGGCCTGTTGAGACAGCCAGGATGTGAGTTTGCCCTGGGGAGGGTGTCAAGTGTTTGTACAGTGTATGCTCTGTTCCAACCTGCGTGGCCGTGGCCTCTGCGCACTGTAATTTTTTTTTTTTTCTTTTTAAGGTACCTGGAGGCGAGCATGGCCTCTGGAATCTTAAAAACAACAACAACCCAGAAAACCCCCAACTAGTCATGGCTTCCTTTCTAAACCTTTTGATGAAATACACATTTGTTCTTCCTAAAACTCCAGATGCTTGTGGTACCAAACTAGTTCTGACCGCATAAGACTATTACTAGTAAGCCTGACCACTTGGCTAAGCCATCAAACTGGACATTTTCTGAAGCCATTACTTTCTTTCACAGTCAGCTCAGACATCCTGAAAGCCGTGAAGCCCCCAGACAGCTGAGCAGCCTGGTCCCGGGGCTGGAGGAGGTGCCCCATGCCCTGGTGTTAGGGAGCTGAGCGAAGTCTGCGGGAGCAGGGCCTCCAGGGATGGGACTTATCGCAAGAGCCCAGCGTGGGGGATCGTCTGGAGGGGGACCCTGGTTTTCTGGTTCACAGTGTCCTTGACTGTGTTAGGCCTTATATATAACAGCCTAATTTTACACAGGGCTTTAGCCTCCAGGGCCTAAGTTGCCTCCCCTTGGAAACAGTGAAAGGAGACCAAGCAACCATGAAGACAAGGAAAGTCCTAGAGACTGGGACAGATGCTTTCAGCTAAGACTTTGCTGCAGCAAAAACAAAGCAGCCTGACTGAGCAAGCGAAGAGTGTAACCCAACACTGAAGAAGAATTCTACTCCGCAGGAAGCCCAGGGCAGGAAGATGTTGGGATGTCAACCCCTGCCAGTTGAGATGGCACCAACCATCAAGGAAGCAGGGCTTCTTTGTAGAGCTGGACGAGGGCTGGGGTCCCATGGGAGGCAGACACCAAAGCATCTACTAATTAAAGGGAGAGGGGAATCCGGGGAGACTTGAGAGGGCACAGGGAGAGCTGTTGGGGCGTCTAGAGAACTACGGCCCGGAGAGACAAACCAAAGCCTATGTCAGAGCAGAGCCTCTGCGGTACCATCAAGAACAGGCATCAAAGACGGCACAGGAGAGACAGAGCTAGAGAAATTCATCTGCAGATTAAAGAAATGGTTTGTTTCTGAATGGCAAATAAGACAAGCAGTTCCCAGTGAAGATCAATGGGACAGACAGGAGAAACGGAGACAGGATGGCCCGCGAGAGCCACTGGATGAGGATGTAGCAAAGGGACTTGTGAGCTGGCTGGTAAAAGGGTGCCCGCCGTACAGACATGGGGGAGGCATCCACTTACCATAAGGAGCTCTGGTACGTGTCAGGGTGAGCAGAGAGAGGGCAATACGACACACAGAAGGAAACCACATAGACATGGGAGAGTGTGACTGGCACATGCCTCACCAAGGAAGGTACAGACCCCTTCCTGGAGGAGATCAGCAAGCTGCTTGCCACAGGGGCATTATTGCTACCTGGTCTGGCTGGCTCAGGAGCTGCGTCTTCCACTGGCGTCTTGCTGGACCGAGGGATGCGGCTTAACTGCTTTTGAGGTCTTCTGAAGCCTCAAGTGCAAACAGAAAGGTCCAGCCGGAGGAACAAGCACCTCATTGACACAGCTCGAGGTTCCTGGAACAAGTCTAGCATTTTCTAGGTCTATGTGCAATTCTGTTTATTCAAACAGAATTTTGAATAAAAAGGAACACAATCCTTTTCAAAGTATTATTTTATAAAGTATGGACTGTTTTGGTCAGTGACATGTTACATAGTGAAAATAGAGGCAGGGAGAGTTTTGGTAATCTAGTTTTGAATGGTCAACTCTTATTATTATGCTTCATACAAGTCATAGACTTGGGTAACCAACATGCTAGCTCCCCCTTTGGATGATGCTTTGGTAAGAAGAGCAAGGAGGATGCCTCCAGTCACTGCAGAACATTCCTATATTTGGAGGACATATTTAACTGGGGACATCTCCTTATTAACACTGTAAAGAAATAACCCAAGAAAGAAGTAATTTCTACAAATCTGCCCAAAAGATTCGACCGGATTACATGAGGGAGCTGGTTTTCTACGGCCATGACAGGGACTGAGGGCTTTTTGCCTTCTGCATTGCAGGCCTGCAGGCCCGGAAGAGAGAGCCACAGGGCTCTGAGGGGTGTGCTAGGGCTGGGTTTCACGGCCGGCTTCCTTGGCAGCCGAGCTGTTGGTGCTGAAGGAATGATGGGCGGTGGGACTGGGGCCTTTTATCCCCATCTGGCCAGCGCGTGGGAGCCTGACGGCACCTCTAGGTAATGCCCTCTCAGGCCTTCAAAACTTGGCAGTTCTGATCTTTAATTTTTCTTAAACAAATAAATTGATTTTAATGCTGTTGGCACATTGATAGCAAAGCGAGATAAGACAAAACTAAAATTTAACAATTGGTCAGGCTTATGTTTAAATTGTTCTGCAGAAGAGACGGGATGAGGGGAGGGGGCAGGGAGACGGGTTGGTTACATTCTTTCAAACTTGCCATGAGCACCAGGCACAATGCCAGGCATGAAAAGTAAGACACCAGTCGTCCCTGTCCTTAACGGGCTTGTAGTATGTGGACAATATAGACGTTTTTCTTTTTCTGTATAGTAATAAGTCATTACCCTGTGGCACACTAAGAATCACAGAGATGAACACATTATTCCAGCTGCACTGAAGAAGGAGACTATAAGTCACCTTCATAGGAATGAGGAAGACTTCTGGGAGGATATGATTAGAACTGGGTTTTGAAAGCGTTTTCCTGGTGGAAGAGGTGAGGGACCTCCCAAAGGGAATAGCATGGGGAAAGTCAATGGTGTGCACACGTGAAAGCAGCTGCCGCGCCGAGGGCGGCCCTGCACTGTGCGGGTGGGTGTGGCGGGACAGTGCTGGGAAGATCGGCAGGGCCACCTCACACGGGGCGGTTCCAGCTGTCTGCCTGACCCCTTTGCCCACGGTCTTTCTGCACGTGGTCTGCTCTCTGCCAGAGGCTTGTTGTTAGGAGCAAGACAACATCCATGGCGGGGCTTTCTGTTCCCCATAGTGCCTAACTTGGGGTGTGCTCAGAAAACAGGCGGTGTGTTAAACTGCATTAGATGAAGGGACTAGGACTTAACTGCTTAACACATTTGATGATTACTCCTGACTATTCAGTCCCCTGTACCCAGGAGGAGATGGAAGGTAGGAACTCCTCTCCTCTTTAATTTGGATACTTTGGAAGAATTTGTACTTTCCCATCTCATAGATTTTATTTACAAATAGGAACTTTTAGAAACACAAGATCAAAGCCACTTAGCATACATTCTGGTCTCAAAAAAATTAGATAATTAGCCATCTTAGCTTTGTAAGATTTTTACTCTCTATCTCTTCTTTAAAGGTTTTATAAAACTACGCAGTTCCCTTAGGGTCAAGCGGATTCTAATTGTGCTACTACACAGATTCCGGGTGGGTGAGAGCCCCGCCCCCTGACCATGCCTCACCCTTGGCTAACGGTGCAGCCTCTGGCCCCCAGCTCTCTGGGGCTGGGGGGAGGGGGACATGCAATTGCTCAGAGCAGGCCCACTAAAGACATGATTATAGAAACTTTTTGGCTTCCTCTGGTCCCTCAAGCTTCCCTTGCCCTGACATGTTGAAAATAGGGCTAGACAACATTAGTATTTAGGTTCGATGGGCTCTTGCATGACTGCCCGTCACCATCTGGACCCCATGTTTGTGTCTGAGGCTAAGAAGAGGTCATTTTGAAGGAACCAGGCATCAGGCCGCTGCGTCTGCAGCCCTTCTCCTCCCTCACATTGGGCATCTGACTTCCTGCGAGATCCAGAAGGGCCCCAAGCTGGGGTCCTGGAGGAAGGGGCCCCACCCTAAGGACACCCCACCTTAAGGACAACGAGTCTTGTTTCCCCTCTTCAGTTCAAGTTTTCCATTTGTGCCACTTAGAAGAGGCACCTTTTAAGAGCTGAAAGAAGTGCCTGGCATGACTTTCACCTCTCCATAAAGGGTGGGCATTTTCACCAAAGGCAACAAAAAAACAACATTTATGAGAGAAAAACTTGTACAAAAGTGAGGGAGAAGAACGATGAAGGGATTCTGAAGAAAGTTGCTACCTAGGAGATGTCTTGTAATCTTAATGGTGAATAGTTCTCTGTCATCTACTTCTCCTAGCCTTGGACATACCCAGTGATATAAAAAGAATACTCAAGTTCTAAAAAAAATATGGGGGGGTCAGAGTTTCTCTTGGGTTCGGTCATTCTATATTAGTAGCCCCAATCTTATTGTCTCGGGGGTAACCATCACCAGATTGAAAAATGTCATACTGTAATAGAATAAAGACCAGGGCATGTGATACAAAGCTCTTAGAATCCTGTGATATGAGGAAGACATCAGTCTAGCCCTAGGAAAATCATGTACAATCCCTGGGGCTGTCGTTCTCAATCAGGGGCAATTTTGCCCTTCCTTCCCCAGAGACATTTGGCCACGTCTGGAGACATTTTGGGCCATTATAAGTGGGGGTATGCTACGGGCATCTAGTGGGGAGAAGCCAAGGGTGCTGCTCATGCTACGATGCTAAGGGGAGCCCCCACAAGAATCACCCAGCCCCCAAATGTCAATAGTGCATGGGTAGAAAAACCCTGCCCTGGGACTAAGTCACGGTTAGACTAAACCCCTCTTGAGGACAGAAACCAGGTCCTGTACTCCTTCCTAAGCACAGCCAAGGAAAAAGAAGGGTCAAGTTAACAATTCGGTCCCAATTGCTCCCATTTGGTTAAATCTCAGACCCTCCTCTTCAAGTCCATGAACTTTCTCTCCCGGAGGGTTTCCTTAACATTACTTTCCTCCTGGCAAAGTTTTCCAACCCTGTAGTTCCTGACAGCTTCCAGAGAAAACCCTGAGTAAACCACACCTCATGACAGACATGTTTCAGTGGCAGAGTATACAAATAATCGAGTCCAGATTGCTCAAGGTTCACGCTGACAAGCAGGCTCACCCACACACCTTTGAACGGCATGCCCGAGGCCCGCTTCAGGTTGGTGTGAGAGGTCCCTCATGAATGCAGGCGCCCTGTGGCGTGAGGTCTGGGGCTTCCCTCCCTTGGGGTCGCCTCCTCACCACGCCTGGGAACAGCTTCGTTTGCTGCCTGCATCTTTTGGGAGTGAGAGGGAGGGGAGAATTCTGGCCAAGTTTCTATAATCAGCCTCCAAATGAACAGCTTTGCCTGGGACTGCCGTGGTTCTCGCTCCCAGGAGAGAGCTGGGCCCAGCCTGGGCTCCCAAGAGCCGCAGCTCTGGGTGAGCTGTGCAGGAGGGGCAGTGGCAAAGCTGCATTTGGGCTTTGATCTTGACATGCCAGGCCTGGGCGTGGTCTGTGGGCTTCTGCCCAGAGGCCCCTCAAGCTCCCTCAGCCAGGCCGGGAGGGTCTGCTGAAGCGCCCTGCTGCCGTCTGACTGCACTGCCCACTCTGCAAGCACCAACTTAGACCTCAGCTGGTCTAAGAAGATGGCTAATTACTCCCAATGCCACAGTTGATCGTTACAAGTGGAGGGTTACTTTGGGATGTCAGACTCAAGTTCCTGCGTAGTTTCTTCTGATCCTCTGTCTCTGCCCTCAAACACTGTCCCTGCAATGTAAAGTCAGGATGGGCAGTCGTTAGTGTACACTTAGAATCATAACATGTTAGCACTGGAAGTTCATTAGCGCACCCAGTCCAACCTGTTATCCTATGGCCGAGGAAAGCGAGGCCCAAGAAAGGAAATAATCAGCCCATATCACACCACTAGGAGGAAACAAAGTGAGGCCTTGAGCCTACTTCTGACTAAGGGGAGTCTTTGTCACTGTGTCCCCTGTGACCTGTGACTTGTATATACTAGCCCAGAGAACGGAGCTGATTATTATCCTTGAACCACCAGCAAAATTCTACCTATGTGGGCAAAGTCCCTTATCTTCAGGCAGAGTTTTTTACTTTATTTTTGAGTTGGAGTATTTCCATTAAACCTTTGACTACTATGTACTCTATATTTAGAGGAATAGGAAAAGAGAAACTTATATCCAGAATAGATCACAAAGGGATAATTCTGTACACTTGAGGCATTTCCTAGGAAAGATTTTACAGTCATCATCATAGATCCAATACATTCTCAATTTTTAGGAAGGTCCTTTGTTCACAGATTTCAGTTCTCAGACCAGAAAATTGAAGGAAAGAGGGAACTACTTACCTAGTAGTATTTGGAGAGAACACGAGAGAGAAATTCTTGGGCAGTTCTTGGTTAAGTAACTGATAGAGAAGGACATAATTCTCACCAGATGTAGGGGTTGATTCAGAAGGGCATATTTCTACAGCCTTCTGACAAGGGCTCTGAAATACAATCTTCATATGTTCCACTAAGCTTAGTAGGTGATACTTATAATCTCACACAATAAAAAAGGAATCAAAAAGGTGTACCAGGTTAGACAAGGAGAGCTGATTTTCTGGCGAATGGGTTACAAAGGCCATGAACATCTGGCCCAGTTTGGTCACAAGTGATGTGGCAGAGGATAAAGTGACACTTCCACAGGCCTACCCGCTTCTGACCACCCGAGACTCCCACGCTGGGAGCCGCTCTAGCATCTACAGTGAGAGAAAATGTGGAAGCATGAAGAAGGGTGTGGGCCCCAAGAGTCCCCCTTGCCTGCTTTCCTGGACCCCTAGCTTTTAGCAATATTGATGTAGATACTGAGCAAGTAAAGATGTTAAATGTCCTTCTGGGGAATTAGGGTTACCGATGTAAAAGGAAGAACCGAGCTTTCCTAGCATCATAAATAAAGAAAACTATTCCATTTCATTTCACATAAAGAATCTGTGTGCCTGTGCTTAAGCAAGCTTCAAGGAGGTGAGACAAAAAGACGGTGAGTGCACATGCCGGGGGGACCTCCTACATTGTGACCACGGACGTGACTCCTTTCAAAGGAGCGTCCCTGGGCACTGATGGCACTGGCAGTGCCGCGACTCACCTAGCAAGGCTGGAGGTGGGCCTTGATGCTAAGAAAGCCCAGAATAAGGAGTCAGAAGTGTGATCTCATGAAAAGGGTGCAGTCATACATCCTAGGAGAAGGGGTGGGCCTCCAGAGCGGAGAGGTACCCCAGAGTGTTCTCTCTTCCTCCATCGGAGGGAGGCCCCCAGAGCTAATGAGGGCTCCGGTCCACGTGCCTGGGGTGGGGGGGTGGCCCTGGCGTGTGCTTCCCTACAAAGGCTCAGGGAAGTCAAGAGTGGGTCAAGGGTGACCTCAGTAAACCCACCCACACACAGTAGCTGCTCGTGTACCTTTGTTCTTTTGACGGCCAGAGTGCTCTTAACCCACCTAAAGGCATCTGGGACAAAACCTGAGGGCAGGGCACCCCAGTCCATACTTGACAGATGCCTTGGCACCACACTCCCCACACTGTGCCACCCCACGCACCCTGCATCACCTCACCTTGTCGGAAGGAGGTGTACACCAACCTCTCATCGAATTTCTGGACCCGCCGGAAGTTATTGACCATTTCTATGGGGGATGGGTCGTTCTCCTGTGTGCAGTACAGAGCTGTCTCCAGAGCCAGAAGCTGTGGGGAGAAAAGCAGAAACACCCTGCAGGCAGAGTGACAGCCCCCTTGCCTCTAGAAGGAGGAGACTACCAGCTCCCACTCCAGGGTGTTGTGGGCAACACAGTAGATGACAGTGGGTGAGCCAGAGAACTGCTCCCCTTCCTTGGGGGCACGCGGGTGACCAGGCATGGGGCGGGCTGGGCTGCCTTCCCACCTCCCAGGCTTGGGGGTAGGTCAGTGCTGTTAGCTCCAGATTGTGCCTGAGATCTGCATGCAGGTAGGGAAATCTGGGGTGCTCGAGGGGCTCTTCAGCCTCTCCTGGAGACCGTACTGAGCCTGATTTGGAACTCAACTCTAAATCAGAGGGGCTGGGGGGTCCCATCAAAAGGAACAGAAAGAGGGAGGCAGGATTTCACAGGTCATCTGATTGCCAGCTCCATGGAATTTTCATATACCCACATGGATTGTACAATCTCTTTCCAAGGCCATTTCTGGGTTAGAATGTTACTGCTTTCCCGCACATTTCTCCTCTTGATTCATCATGTTGTTATTCCTGTCCGCCTACTTGCTTGCCCGTTCTCTTGGTTACTCTTAGGTACTATGAGATCAGTAACTCATAGTACAAAAGGAGCCACAATGTGGAGGGGGCGAAGGGTGGAGTGGGCCACGAGCCCGTGCGCAGCACTCCCCCGGCCCTGGCTCCTGACAGCCTTTTTACCTCTTGATGAATTGAGGCTGTGGAGTAGAGGGGCGGCCAGTGGCCTGGTCTTAGCTCTGTCACTAACCAGTGGTGATCCCGCAGTATTGTCAACTCTCTAACCATCACTTTTCTCACCTGTAAAGTGCGAGGGTTAGAGATGATTTCTGAGGCTCCTATTGCTCAGTTTTGCACTAGACTGTGAGCTTCTTGAGGGCAGAGAGCCTCACTCATTGCTGCAGTCCCAGCTCTCTGGTATATTAAATGATTTAACCTGCTCCTTCCTTTATTCCACCCCTATAAAGGAAGCGTGTCCTCTCCCACCTCAGAGGTGAATACCATCCACTGAGGGATAGACTAGGAAATGCAACTTAACAACTCTTCTCTTAAAGAAACAGATTCATTTTCCTACTTGACTTGATAGCCCCATGTAACTTCTGCAGCATTTCCCACACACCTGTGACATTTGGTGAGCATCTGAGTAGCCGCCAGTGAAACTCAAAGTGAGGGAAGCAAGTCATTGATTATGATATGAGTGATACCACGTGGTCTCTGACCTGAGGAGCATGACACTTACCTGCTCCTGCGAAATTTGTACGGGGTTCCTGAAAACTGTCCAGAGCACTGTGGGGTAGCAAGGAGGTGTGGTCAGGGACCCTTTGTAGCGATAATACTCTTCAGGCCTCTCAGGAAGAAGCTCTTCAATGCTGAACGCTGGAATGTGCACTTCTTGGCCTGGAGAGACATGTTGGGGGACGGTATTGTCCTTGCTCCCCATGGCAAAGAAGCAACTGAGCATATGACTGAGCCTAGAAACGCGAACTAGCCCCTTTCTGGGCCATCCCACCCAAGGACCTGGTCATAGACAACACCTCCCCTCAGCATTCATTCCCCTTCAGGTCACAAGGGAGTCATTACATCTGCCTCCAACAGAGGGTGAATTAGCATCCCAGGGCCACTCACCTTTGTACTTTACATCTTGAAGGTGACTGAAGATCTTGTCATAGGATGGATTGAAGGAGCCCATCTGCAACAGAGACAGGGCAGGTTGAACTGGGACAGAATTCTGTGGCCTGAGCCTGGGCTGATAATTGCTCATTGAGGGGCCTGGCTGGGGGGTACATGGTCACCACTGTCAGGCCGTGATGGGTCACTAGGCTGGCATGGGGTGGTGTAATGGACCTGCCCTTCTGTAACTCAGGATATAATGTTTCCAACTCAAGGCACTGGGGCTGGAGTGTCCCAGGGCAAGAGATAGAGCTTGTGCTCCTGATTATCTGGCTGTGAGCCTGAAGGCATGCTCTCTAAGTAGAACTTAAGGGAGTGAGAGTTCATGCAAGGCAAGTAGGAAACAAGGTACATGCTGTCTCATTAGGGAAAAATAATGCAGGTGAATCAGGAGATAGTCTCATTTTCTGAGATCAGGAAAGAACTGCTTCCAGGATTCATGTAAAGGATGGAACTAGGATGACAGGGGTTGTGTCAGGAGGTCAGGCTTCAGGTCGTGCCCTGAAATGAATCATTCCCATGCCCTCCCTCCTCCCCCCCTACCCACACACTCACATGTCCCATCCAACTGGGCAATTCTATGCCTTATGCAGTTGGGCTGGGGACTAGGGCTCATTTTTCCAATGCCACAAAAGTGATGCCCATTTCTGCTGCCCAGCCACAGAAAGCGCTGCCTCCAGGCCGGAGAGAAGGAACTCTGTAGGGGAACACCCCGAGCTCTGGAGGCGAGACACAGCCAAAATGCAACTGAGCCGCACACATCCAACAGGTAGGCGTGCGTGGAACCAAATGTTAAGGCTGATATCATCCCAGCTTCAAATTTCATGTAAAATCCCTTTTAACATCTCTTACCTCTATGAGAATAGCTAGGACAGCGAGGCCTTCTGACTTGTTACTGGCGGTGCTGGCGTTGGGGTACAGGTCCGAGTTATAGTGGACAATATGCATCTGTAGGGGGCAAGAGGCCACTTATAAGGGGGAGTATGACTCACAGGCACTTTTTTCTTTTGCAAGAGACTGGAATCCAATGGGGAGGACAGACTTCCCCCCAGGCAGATTACGCCTCTCAGGCCCTCCCCTCGTGGCCTCCCCAGTTTCCCTTTTTCCCCATTCTTCCCTGCAAACTCTGCCAAGGCAGACTGTCCATCTTACTAATCCATTGTATCCCAGTGTCATATGATGCTTGGAAAGTGCTGTGTGCACAGTAGATAATGAATGAATGAATGGATGAATGAGTTTTTATACTAGCCATGAAAAACCGTGGATACTTTGGAGCACTTCTCCCTTCTGGTTTTTCTTCCTTGTTTTGGAGCCTGGGCCAAGATGGTCTCATGTGTCTGGCCACTCGGCACCAGATCTGGAAGCACTGGGGCCTGGGGCAGTAATCCTCTAACTGTGCCTTAATCAGAATTGTATCCAGAGAGGACACATATTTATCCCTCAGGCAGAGAAAATCACCACATGGTTTTATCAAGGTTTTATCAACCATATTTTAACTGGCAATAAAACAAAAACGTAGCTCCATGAATGTAGACTCTAACCTTCACAAAAGAAAATTCTAAACTCTTTTTTTCCAAAGCAGAAATTGTCATTATCAAAGTGAGGAGAAAAGTTTTTGAGAAATCTCAGGTGTAAAAAGTCTAGGTGAAGTCCCGTGCTCTCTTTCTCCATCATGTGAAGAGCCAGCAAGAAGGCCGCCATCAGCAAGCCAGGGAAAGAGCGCTTATCATAAACCCACTCTGCCAGATCTTGATCTGGGACTTCTAGCTTCCAGAGCTACACTGGCTACTACAAGTAAATCTGCTCTCGATCATTTATGTGCAAGCTTTTGTGTGGACATGTGCTTTCATTTCTCCTGGATAAACAGCTAGGAATGGAACGGCAGAGTTGCAGGCTGGCTAGGACGCCCAAACGTGCTGGAAGAACAATGGAGGACACAGCAGAAGACTGGTGTTTAATTCTAAAAGGGACAAACTTCATTGTATAAACAAGCTAAATTGCTTCACTCCCATAAAATTTGATGAGTACATTCAAAGACCACTGCCCCTTCTATTCCCTACAAATGATGTTACTGTCAATTTTAATACTTGGGATGTTTTTCCTAATTCCTCCATAGCTGAGCCCAATAATGAGGCAACACTTAACTCAGCTGAAGTAAGCTCAGTAACTGGGACCACGACTTCCAAGAAGAAAACTTCTACACGGGTTTTGGCACATCCTCTTGAGAGCAACGATGGTACGACTGATTAACATTTCCTCCTGGGAATGGGACACTAAAGATAACTAACTATAGGGAATAATATCCAGGGAGCCAACTCTACTGATGTCGTTCCAGTGGGGACAGTTCTGCTGGGGATTGATGACACGGAGATGGGCACAATGCTGCTGCCAGGACAAGAGCCAAGAGAGTCACCTTACAATTAGACATGTGGAAAAGAAGTGTATAGAAGACACAGGGATTCTTTTTATCAGGCTTACATTCTTTATCTGTCTTCCTCACGTGTATTAAAACATATGGTCTAATATTTGGTCTCAAGTGGAAAAAAAAAACCTAGGTAAGTATCAAGACATTGTAATGGCAAATTCTGACAATGTTAAACCTGATTTTTAATGCTAAAGGTGATATCACTTGTTCTCCAAAGTACTATATTAGTAAATAGATCTGTAGATATGACACATGCATTTTTGTTGGTTCTTTGCCTCTTGGGGCTATGACACATTGAGATTTTACCTCTTTTTTTTAATCCACCTCTTTTTCCACTTTATATGGTTACATTCAGAATTCAAGAATATTTTATTGAATACAGCTCAATGTTCCCCATTTTTCAAGTGGTCCTTTCTAATTTTTAAAAATTATATCAAATTATTTTTTCTTTTAAGTGCTCCTCTGGTAAGGATTTCCTAGGGGCTCCTACTTCACCATTTTTCCCCTGAACGATGTGGCTTCCCACATTGCCCCTCGCCATCCTTACTTGGCATCGCTTTGACAGACGGAGCAGAATTCTTCATGGCTAAAACTCCAGAGGTCCTAGAGCCCTATTTCTTTGTTATACTTGACTCTGAGCCTGTGCTCTGTCTTAAGCACTTTTCTCACCGTGTTCAGGTTCAGTCAAGAGGAGGTGAAGGCTAACAAAACAGAAGGGAATTCCCTGCTGACGGGACTAAGTTTTCTTATATAGGCTCAACTCAGAAGAACATCTGCATTCTAAAGGACCCTGCATAGAGAACCCATCACTTTAGGGTTAACTTGATGTATTTTCTCTGTTATTGACATTTATGGCCCATCTTCACCAGCCTCTTCGTCTGATGATGTGGCTTAATAGCAGAAAATACAATAACTAGAAATATCTCAAAATGTCCAAGCCCTCCCAGCCTACACTGTAACTCCTTCTTTATCCCCCATGGCGAAGTAGGAGCCTCCACATTGCAATTAGCCTGGAAGAGCTACAGTCTTGGAGGTTCAGAGAAGGACCTGGTCTGAAGTATGTGCACCTCCAGTAGTGCCATCCTACTGCACCAGAATTATAGTCTTTCCACATTTGTAACTCAACCTATAATTAGCCTGAGACATTAAGTAGTTCAACAATTACAAAACAGAGGAAAGTGGTCATGTCAGTATTTACTGTGGGCTCCACTGGCTGATCAGTAGTATTTATCTCCTTGTATTGCCCTGTAAACATTCAGAACACACTTCCAAGTTCTCTTGGAATGGGAGCTCTGAAATAGAGCAACTCCACCCTTATCCCTCTATTGCATACATTGTGTCTCCTCCTCTTTTCCTTTGGCATTTTGTGTTCGTGTGTCAGGGCTACGTAACGCAATGCTCTGTTGATGTACCACGCTCTCCTCTGCGAGTCTCTGGTTGCCATGATGCCAGTCATCCCTTGAATGTGGCCAAGTACAGCAGAAGAGTAGCCCTGGACCTGGGTCCCCACGTTCCAAGCACAGCCCATGTCCAGGGAAAGGGAAGATGGGATGGGAAAGGCCTATGCAGACAGCATGGAGTGTGAAGAAAGACTGAGAAGTTTCTGGGACCAGTTAGCTCAGTATCATTGAGCAGTGGGGTGCATCAGCTGGACAAGCTAGTGGGATCTTAATCTGTGCCAAAAAAAGGGTGATGTCCAGAAAAGGAGCACATGTGTCCCATGCACCCCCCTGGGAGCACTGCCTTCTGAGCAGCATTGCTCTGTAATAGATATAGAGACAAACTCAGCCTGTTTGGGAGAGAAAGGGGACCAGGACACTACAGAGGAGCTACAGGTGGCTGGAGTAGCTACACCTTCCTCTGCTGCTGACAGGGCGGGGCGTGGAGAGCATGGAGGCAGTGCCCCGCCTCCCACCCACGTGCCCTGATCTCATCTGCACACCAGCTAAATGGAAGAACGCTGGATCACCCACCGCTGGGCAGCCTCTGCCAGCCTGGCCGCTCACTCACCTCGGCAGCAAAGTGCTTCCCACCAACAGTGTGCTCGGAGCCGTACTGGTCATCCTGGTTCCCCCAGTGCAGGTGCAGCTGCGCGGCGCTGTAGCGGGATGGGAGGCCCTGGATGTGCATGCTCGGGGGCAGCTTCAGCTTCACTGCGGGCAGTGGAGGGGCAACCTTCAGAGTCAGGCAGACAACACGTGCCCAGGCCCAGAGCGGGGGCAGGGGGATACAGCACGGTGGAGACTGGAGAGAGGCAGCCTGCGGGTCGGAAACCTGGCCTCTTTTCCTGAGAATGTCCCAATTTCACTAAAGGAGTTCCGGCGGCACCAGCACCTTCTTGGTTCCCCTTGGAAAAGGATGGATGTTTTCCATCATTTTCCTAGATGGAAAATACTAGACCAATGGATGAATGTTTGTTTACACAGCTGACTATGAAGATAGAACGTTTAATGAAATACCTACCGAGCTATAGAATTCTATCACAACAACAATAGTAATTGCTATTTATGAAGCATCTGCTTTACAACAGATCCCAACATACATTATCTCTCATCTTCATTAGTACCCACCAATATGCCCATTTACCAGGTGAAAGCTCAAGAAGGGTAAAATTCTTATCCAGAGTCTCATGACTCATAAGTACTCAAGCCAGAATTCAAGGCCAGGTTTGTCTGACTCCAAAGGCTGGGTGCATGCCTGCAGTGAACTGTGTGGCTCCTTCTGTTCATGATGCCCAAGAGTTGCATTCCCACACCACAGCCAATGGCCAGGGGGCTCAGACCTGTCCCCTCTCCCGTCTCAAGACTTGTACTTCTTCTGAGGGGTGCTGCTCTGGCAGAACGGCCTGAGCCCAGGGCCTCCAGCATTCCCTGGAGAGAGGGGTCCAAGCCTCCACCCAGGGCTCCCACCCCTCTGTCCCTCCCCCTGGGTGCCTCCGTGGAGCTCCCGCCCTGGCAGATGGAGAGGGAGCAGCGGGAAGCTCAGACATCCCCTACAACTCTCCAGGGTCTCCCTCACCTGAATGGCCATTATTGATCAGCGTAAATTGCTCATTGGCAGACACATTGTAGCCTTGGAACTTCAGGGGCACAAGGTTGCCATTGTACTGGAGGATGTCACTGTGCAGGTCTATTGGGGACTGCATCAGGCCCCCACATGATGGGTAGTTCCTGGGCCAGCTCTTCTCCCCATTAGGACCTAGAAGGAGAGATTTAAGACCAAGATTTAATCAGTTTTCCACAAACTTTTTTTCCTCCCCTTGCAAATCTATGTTCAATACAGTTACTCCTTTCCTTAATGCAAAGAGGTATGTTCTTCAAGGAAGGCCTAGAGATCTCAGCCTACAGCATCAGGTCCAGCAAATGCCTCAAGACCACTTGCTCTTAAAGTGATGTGGGGAAAGAAGGCCTAGAGCAGGCCCTCTGCTTGATTTTGTACATTGTTCATATTTTGGTACAATACACACCTCTCCACATGAAGACCTGCTGACTTGCAGCAGCTTACCTATTACGAGCAGGGATTGCCCTGGGCCTTAGAGCCGTCAGGTCGAACACAACACGAGAGGCCCTGCTGGCCTAAGCTTGCATTCTAGTGGGGAAGAATTTAATGAATCTGCTGGGTGCCCCAAGTTGGAAAATTGGTGTCTGAGTGACTACAGCTCCAGGTAGGCCTTTGAGGCTAATGGATTTACAGGTATGATCTTCTTCCTGTGAGGAAACCCTTGGGAACATTGACTCTTGGTACGCGCATCTAGGGTAAGTAAACCCAACCTGATAGGGATACCTGAAAAATACCAGGTAATTATAGGCCTGGAATCATGAGCAAAGTGCAAGATTTACACTGAGAAAGAGTATGACAATACTACAAACTAATTATTACAATGTTACTGACAAACTATCAGTGAGGAGGTACAGACTTAAAAAATAAATCCTCCAGGGTTCAGGCTTCTTGATAACTACCAGGTAGCAGTCCTTCTTCTGGAAATGAAAATAAACAATCCAATCCCATGTTCAAATAAACCTTCCTACTCTCACAGGGAAAAGTCTTTAAAGAATGTAAAGCTATGTTTAAAAGATTATCTCCCATGGTAATTAAACAGATTTTCAGGCTGAGGTTTCTCCAGAGAAGCAAATAATTGGCATGTCATGGCTCGTTTGGGTAGAACGTGGTGCTCTTTGGGCCCTCCTGGATTTGGGAACCAAGGCTTGCACCTGGGGTCCATTCATCAGTATTTCAACACAAAGAAGGGTGTTAACGAGAGCAGAGGTAGCAGGAACACCACATCTCCTGGGAACCCTCCCATAGACAAGGGCACCATTTCATGAGAATGTAAGTGCATACACTGGTCCCTGGAATCCCGACTCCCTGCACCTTGTTCTCTAACCAGGGGGCCTCATCTGAGAGCAGGGAGAGTCCAAAGTAAAACTTGGTGCCCATGTTCATTTAAAATGCCGTAAGAAATTGGTCCTGGGTCTGGGTGCACACAGAACCCTGCTAGTTTTTCAGGCGGTCAACCTTTGGATAGACCTTTTTAGAAATGTTAGAGCTGGAAGGAACTTCAGAATCTCCAGTCCACCTTTTCACTGGACCCCAGTTTTCTCACTTACACACATCAGTTTCCACTGATCTTTGTTGTTTTTCTGTCCAAAGCCTCAAAGCCCTGGACTCAAGGCAACTCAACTGCACCAAGATGGTGATGGGGGAGAAGGCTGGAGGACACCAAAGCAATCCGGGGCAAACCGGAGGAAGAGAGTTCTTCAGCTGAGGGCAAAACCAATTCTTCAGGGCCAGGAGGGAGCAGAGATGGCGCAATCCTGAGGTACCAGGCAAACCCTAAGGGTCTAGGAGAGGCCCGTGTAGTGGGTGGCAAGCCTTCCAGTGTAAGGCTGCCGGCCATTTCTCTGCTCACCGGGCCCAGTCGAGGTGGCAGAGGCCGCCAGACAGGCGTGAGTGGAAGTTCTCAGGAAGTAAAGAAGCATGCAGACATGACTAAAGGGAACTAGGTCACGAAGAAAGCGTTTCAGGCATAACTAAAGCAAGAGCTGCTTGCAGACTGGGACATCTCATTTCCATCTCTGTGAACCCTTGTTGTGATTAGGGTCACACACATAGCAGGTGTTTAGGAAACATTTTCCCAGAGAATGAAGACCCCAGAAAACAGCTTGGGAAAAGGTGATTAAAGAAGACTAAATGGTAATGGGAAAAAATACAATTAAAAATTTTAAAAATAAATAAAAGCATTTGTTAAATACCCCCCCAAAAATAGGTTTTAATTTGCTGTAAATACTCTTTCTTGGATTTTAGGCTGAACTGGGTTTTTGGAGACAGGAAAGACCAAGGTTATAACAGGTAACAGAGTCCGTGGTTGGCAAGACCTCCTAGGAGAAAGAAGCAGCTTATTGGTCCAGGAGAGTCCAGAGAATGGGATTCTGGTGCCCTGCCACCTCAGTGCCCTTGAGCAGGTCACATTCCTTGCTTAAGTCTCTTTTTTTCTTCGTACAAATAGGAAGATTGGACATTATGTTCTAGAATGTCCATTCTGGCTCTCAGGCTCTGAGATTTAGTTGGATTACTAGAACTAAATGCCTTCACGCTCTGAGTCAGGCGAGCTTGAACGACTCGGAGAGGGCTGCTCATGTCAAGCCAGCTCCTGGTGTGACAAGGTGCCCAGTGGGAACCAACTATGGGAATGAGGGCGCTTGGCACCGCCGCCTGCGGGGCTGGCTGGAGAGGGGGCAGCGTCTGCATCAGGAACCTGCCATGGGCCCCGGCTGCCGTCCACAGGGGGCGCTCGTCCTTGAGCGCCCGTCACAGGCCCTTAAGTGAGAGGGCCTGAAAGCCTTTTCTATTCCTCCTGCAGCTGCTGATGCTTCTTATTATTGTTGGTGCAATTATTTTACTAACCTACGTCCTTACAACTCTACAGCTCTAGTGTCAGCAAAGTGAGAGTTGCCCAATTTTATAGATGAAAAATTGAGATTATCCAATTTGCCCAAAGTCAGACTTTAGTAACAGAACTGAGTCACTTCCAGGCCCCTCTGTTTCAATATTTACCCAGGAGATTTTGTGCACCTGTCTCCTCCCTCTCTTGTGTTCTCCTTAAAGGCAGGAATTAAGTCTCATTCATCCCTGCTTTGTCCACAATGTCTGGCATAAAGCAGGCCCTCACATGTTTACTGCGCTGGATTCTCATGCTGCTTGTGTGCTTGTTTGTCCCCAGGGAAGCACACGCCTATATTAATCTCCTAGCCTCCCACTCCCTGATACAATTTCTTTCCCTCAAAAAAGAAAAGTGTTACTTGCTCAAGTTCAGAATTGACCCTCCTAGCTTTCTAGTTGACATGCATGAGGATTTGTTCTGTCTGGGACCACTCATTGAAAAAGAAATCTGGTCGCTGCCCTGTAGCCTGGGAGGTGGCATCCCACCTGTGGGGCTTCGTGGCAGTGCATAGGACTCTCCACCAACTTGTGATGGCTGGTGTCCCCTTTGGACACGACTGGGGATATTGTCAGAGCAGCCTCCCTCTCTGTGGCTTGTGAGAGAGGCGCTATATGGGTGGGCACCAGAATAACCAGTATTGGGGTGTCAGCAGTAGACTCCTTTCTGTCCCCAGGCCCTGCCTGGGCAATGTGTGACTTGCCACCACAGTAGCGATTGTCTCTTTGCTGGCAGCTATGGCCCAGGCTGTAATTTTTCAGCTCAGTCTCAGCTTTCACACTCGCGCCATGCGCTCTGCTGCCAGAGACCACCCTTCGGACTGACTCTTCCAAAAGAAGCATCTATTCCCAGCTACCTGAAAATGGGACTTTCGTCTTTGAGTTTTGACTGTGCTTCTTCAGTTGGTTGGACTCCTCCCATGATCATGGTAAAGAGATCATGTGTATCTCCCAGTTTGTTTTTCCACATAAAAGCAAAGCATCAGCTCTTTCCAGTTCATGAATTTTTCTGCTTTAGGCAAAACAGAAGTGGGCCCAATTTCTGTTTTGAAATGTAACAAGGGATCAGCGTGGCACAGCTCAAAATGCCTCTTGTGATTTCTGATTGGAATTGAGAATTGTGAGGCCCAGGGTGCAAGACGTGCATTACCTGAGGACCAGAATTGTTCCATGGAAAATTTCATATGTGTACCATGGTAGAGAGAAGCGCAAAACGAATCCCACAGTCCCCAGCTTCAACGATGGACAATTCACAGCCAGTCCAGCTTCATCTATCCTGTACCCACTCTCCCCTGTCCCAGGATAATTCTGAAATAAACCCAAATATATGTCATCTGTACATATTTCAGTATGTCTCTCCAAAATATGAGGACTCCACTATAATACCATTACCACACTTAAAAAGTAAATAATTCTTTAATATTACCAAATCCAGGGAGAATTCAAAAATTCCCAGTTATCTCATAACATTTTAATGGTTTATTTATAAAATGCAGGATTCACATACGGTCCACCTATGGCAGTCAGGCGATGTGTTATGGCCTAGATCTCAAAGTAATGGGGGCAGTGCCTCATCAGAGAACAAGTGGACCCACACTTGCAAGACTCAGAGTCCCAGGGCCAGGCTGGCTCAGTCCATTCAGCCGTGGAGTCAAGTTTCCTCCATCAGCACCACCACCTCCGTCCCCCAGGCCAGGCCCTGGCCATGCCATGCTGCAGAGTCCCCTGCAGGGTCCTGCCTCAGCCTTTCCTGCAGGCAACCAGGCCTCCTTTCTCATAATCAGGTTTAAGCAGGTGTAGCCTTGCTTCTCGGTACCGCCCCATCCCTCCACCCCCTTTATAGCGTGCCCTGCCCCACCGCAATAAAGCAGAGCAGAGCCAGAGCCGTCTTTCAGGCCCTAAAATGCTCAGCTTGGCAAGGCCTTCAGAGGTCCTCCCCCGCCGGCCCCGGTGGTCAGACCAGCTCCCCTGCCCTCAGAACAAGCTATGCCCACCAACCTTCACAGAGGTTCTTATGCTAAAAACTGGCATAAAATGCCTTCTTTCCTCGTCAGCATCCAAATCTTGTCCAGCTCAAGTCCTGCCAAAGGTACTCCAGTGCTTTCTCTCAGCCTACAATGGTAGTGGCTTGGATTGTCGTTCAGCCTGCTTCACCTGGGACTGTTGCCTCCAGACTAGAACATAAAACGGTTCAGACTAGAACTCCAAGTCTACACGTTTCAAAGACCTTTTGAAGACTAGAACTTTTTGCCACATACCTC